AGAAAAAAAAAGCCTAATCTGTCCACTGACTTGAACTGTAATATTATTAAAAGATTTTCCAGACATAAACCAAATAGGTTGTTTAGAAAATAACTGTAAAAAGTGTTCAAAACATAAAAATAATCTTCACTTGTTAGGAATATCACATTTCAAACTAAGAGCTATAAATATCTTACCAATTTCGCTCAAAACATAACAAGAACGATTAAAAATTACAGCATCCGATGGTCCTGTGAACGAATCATTAAAGTGATAAGGTTTTAAATTGGTTAATTTAAATAACTATTTTTTCCAATATTGAACAAGGATCTTATTTTGAATGTATAATGCGTGACGCTTTAAAAATTAGCGAGAATACAGTATATATATATACACATACATACAAGAAAGTTTGTAGTCTGGTGGAAACAAACACTTCATACCTGAAGACAACTCTAGATATCGGAGATTGATTTTTATTCATTTTATTAAAATTGATTTTTTTGTTAATGACGCCTCAAGTTCGGGACCTTAACTCTATCAAATCTTATGATATACGCACTATTGTTTTGATATTTTGATTTCAAGTATGTCCCTAAACAAGAGCAATCACAGAGATTGCATACCCTCGCCCCATCGCTCCTTTTCGAGATTACATGCGTTCATTTTGTATAACGTCAAATTTCACCATCTAAAACTCAGAAAATCCTTATCAGATCCATAATGATCAACAATCTTGATAATGTTTTGTAGTCTGATGAGGAGTCTCAACTTTAATGTGCCCATGAAATATAAGACAAATCCGATCACACTTTACAGAACTAATAACTCAAAACCGACAAAAATGATTCAAAGTGATCTAGAATACGAATCCAGACGAAATTTGGGAAGGGCTGTCCCACGTTGACTTCCCATCTTGTGTAGAATTTTCTTGTACATAGATCTATTAGTTTTCTAGACAACAGACAGACAGAGACCCGATTGTAATAATGCATGTTTTTATTCAAGTTTGGTGATGGTATCGAAACGCAAATACTTCTGAACACCCCTTTTAACATGTCAGTTTGATTAGCATCAACCAAAATAACCGAAACGAAAATTTTCGTATTGCTTCAAGGCAAAACTGGTTATTAAAAGCGTTTAACTTGCCTGCTCTCCATCAATCCTAAAAGTAGAAAAAAAAAAAAAATATAGCCATATTCGATTCAGTTTTTTTTTAGAGTTATTAATATAGCTATCTTATCTTTTCCATCATTTGTATCTTAAGGTTGATATGATATGTGGCTGCCTTATAATGACAGTAAAATTCATACAAAAAAAAAGAGCTCTGTTTAATGACACATATTTTAGCACAACTTAAATTTCTTTACTACAGAATATAGCGTATCGGCTAATTTTCACTAATCATGTGGAATACGATAAGCAATTCTTGTATTGCATGTCGTCCTTATACTGAATGTGTTGATCAACTTCTTTAAACGTGATGTTTGGCAGATCGATATATTCACACAACGTGACCTGTATACGAACAAGACTCTTGCAAAACAAAGGATAATGTTATGCCATTTAATGTAACAACTATCCTGTATTAAATATTGAATGATTTGTGTGTTTCAGTTCATGATGTACTTGCTTAATGATTGCAATCCAAAACGTAAAAGAATGAGTTGACAGTTTTTTGAGAGAGTCAGCAGGAAAGCATTCATTTTGTACTTATTTAGATCATGATATTTCACAATCCAGAGATTACACGCGTTTTTCAGTTGGAGCATGAAATATAACCAATTATTGATGTCTTTGTTCGCATGTTATTTTGGTTGAAGATTAATTTGAAATAACCAATTATAAGGTTACCAAACTCTGTACATCGGACACTTTTTAAAATCATCTACGAATAGAATGAAGTAGAAATTAGGGAAGAGTCATAAATGAAAGAAAACTAATGAACAATTTAGAAAATTAATTATTCTAGGTATAACATACACTAATAGCTTAATGACAAAACATTACAAACTGGTATGATGTTTGGATCTATAAACTGTATGATATACATTCGATAATTGAAAGTTTCAAAAGTCCATTTCCTCTGTCGAACTTACAGTTTTGCAGCTACTTTAAATGTACTTTTAAACTATCTTTTTCAAAACCTCGTTTATTTATCTGACTGAAGTTATTGCTACTAAAATACAGGATCTATTTCTTCCTACGTAGGTTTATGGTGAAGCGTAAATTTTATTAATGATAACGCATTCATTCTGAATTTTACCGAACTTTGTCAGATCTCTTATTGGATTACCTTTTTTTTTAATTTCATTTTATTAACTTGCCTTGTTTCAAATGGATACGGAAACAGTGTTCCAACCAAGAAACAAGCAGAAGACCAATACAATTTTCAATCTTATAACTTCCCCACTACTTGAAATATCAATGAAACAAGACTCATAATTTCCACACGCATGTAGTTTTTACTGTTAAGAAAGGCTATTCATCAAATGTTTGACCTTTTCAGGTAGGTAAAGATAAAGAAAAGGGCCTTTCCTACAAGTTTGGACCTGCTCTTTTTCATGTTGTTAAACATCTTTCCTGTAGATATGATCTGATCCTAATTTTTGTAGCTTGATAAAGAGATCATCTGAAGGTATGATTATACTTTTTAAGTTTGTTAATACAGTTTTGCTCTTTTCAAGTTGGTAGTAATGTCCTGAAGATGTGGTCTTGATTTTCAGGTTAAAATCACCATTTTTCAGGTCTTTTTTGTTTTTAGCTGTCTCACAAGCATCTTCTTGTTAGACTGATAGACCTATATCATACAAATGTAATCCTGCTTTCTCAAGATGGTAGAAAATCTTCTGTAAGTATGAACCAATTTTTTAAGCTGACAGTAGACCTATTCTGAAAGATTAACCCCAATTCTTCAGGATAGTTAAAGATCTGTTCTGCATGTGTGATTTTACTTTTCAGGTTTATAGTGGTATCTTGCATGTGTGATCTTATTTATCCGGTTTATAAAGGTATCTTGCATGTCTGATCTTATTTATCCAGTTTATAGAGGTATCTTGCATGTGTGATCTTATTTATCCGGTTTATAAATCACACATGCAAGATACCTTCTTATTTATCCAGTTTATA